AACGGAATTTGATATGAAGATCTAAATTCCAACCCAATATTTTCACTTTGTTTCCCGCCACTCGGCCCTGCTGTGCGAAGTCCTGGCGAAAAGTTAGTAATTTATCAGGGTTTTTAGATTGCTTTTGACATATAGGATAGTTACTTTTCTCTTTCCGCTATGGAAGAAAGCTTTTTTAAGTACTTCTTTCGTTAGCTTTCCTGTTCATTTTCATTTTTCCTGTGCAGGTCCTTGGAGCGATGTCATATTGAAGTCGGAAAACACGTTTTGAGAAGAGAGATGATATCTAAATTCACGCTCGCGATGATTGAGGCTAGCTTTTTTTACTGTATATTTATAAATGTCGTAATTGAAAACGGAAAGAGTTAGGTAGCAAAACAATTCAATGATGAACAAATGACAAAGTGTGATAGATCTGATAGTATTTTTATGCTTGTATGGTTCTGAGAAGCTTTATCTTAGAAGTAAAATAAAGCGGCCAGTAGTTTTTTCGTGTCTCAGTTTGTCTGAAATTGTTATCGGCCCAATGAAGCTTCAAAGTTATGTCAATTTACGAATGTTTTCACGTGTTGTATTTCGATTAGCCGAGACTTGTTTATTTCGGTTGCCATATAAACGCCAGAGGACAAAACATTGGTCACAGGAAGAAAATATTTGCGCAATGAAGCATACCACGCAAAAACAGAAACATTATCGAAACTAAACCCAATTTTCTACCTGGTGAAAACGAAAGTCATTGAAATCTGACCATGGTAGTCGACATCTCGCTGTTATGTGTTGTTAAAACTTTCGATTATCGCACCAACCCGGTAATATTATCGCAGATTTTTCGTTATTTCTTAACTTAACCGTGCACAGGAAACACGCTGACAGTGGCTTGCAACAAAGCTTCTTTGTTAACAAAACGTCGTTTTGATAACAACTGGAAATAGACACTTGTAGATTCCGCTGCGGCTAATTTGTAGTCACGGTGGCTTTTATAGTGGATAATCTGGTATTTCAGAATCGTTTTGTAAAAAGAGTTTAAGCTGACTGGCCTCTCTGTAAGCTGACTTTCGCACACAAGTGAACTCGCGGATTTAATGCTAAAAAAACGTCGTCGGTTCATGCGCTAGCATTTCACGTACTGCTAATAGTTTCCGGCTCTTTAAAATAGACCGCAAATCGAGCCTCTAGCTCGTAGAGATGAGCTTTCAAAATAAATACTTTTGCGATCCAAATAATCCAGTGGTAAGCAAGCACTGAGTAATTTAAGCAAAAACAACATCACAGTAAGATTCCGGCGGCGTCGAGTTTTCATGGGTCAGAGATCCCAGAGGCGAACGATTTTAAAACCAGACCATGTCGCTTTAGACCACCTAGTGATGTTACACGCGCCTACAAATAGACCTGTTTACAGTTCCCAGCGCCATATTGGAAATGCAACCGCGCACACGTGAGAACGAGGCTGGGGTTGACTCGTGTGAAATCTCTGTGAGCGCTTTTGTTGAAATTCATACTTAGGCAGTAAAAAATTGTTCGGTTTTTAAGGAAAATGGATGGTCCTAGCCGAAATCTCGATAAAGCTAATTTTTCTCCCAAAAAGAAAGGAGAGTAGTGTCCGCGTTTGGTTGTTCAAATACATTTTATGGCCCAAATGGTTTGCCTACGAGCTTTATCGTTCAAACGTTCAAATGACCCGTAATCATATGCATATGATGCTTTCATGTTCCTTGAAGAAGACAATCATTAAAACCAACCCTTTTAGGCTTGTAATCTAATATAATCATGACCGATATTGTTTGGATGCTTAATGTTTGTTCAACACGCCGCTGGTTTTAAAACGTTTTAGCCAAATTTGCGCAGAAAAAGCTCATGTAAGAAACCAACAATGACTTTAGTTATCTCAGTGATTTTGACAACCTCTCCATCCAACATAATGTTTTAAAATAAGATTCTTTTGATTAAGCTGGTTTCGCCGGAAGGCATCCACACTTCCCATCGGTTATGACTCCAGCTGCAAATTTTCTTTTATAGTGAATTTAATCAGTGTCGCTCTGATTCTCGACTTGTTTCAATTCGTGTATCGCACTGCTAAGTGGAAATAATTTTGGCCCAGCATATGGATCAATCTTTGAAAGGCTCCAAACTACGACGTACATCAAATTTTATCTCCTCGAAATCCGGTCTCAACAGACATTTTTTTTTTCATTTGATGTTTATTATTAGATTATTATTTGACGAAAGAGGTCATCTCCAACATGCAACTGGCAAATACTTATACACACATTTTTCTGCAGTTAAAGAAAGGGAGTAAGTTTCAAAAGAAACTGTGGTGCTGCGTCACTGGGGGCATTACAAGTCATTTCTCACGTTTCGAGTGCAAAATAAACTTTACGAGCCCTGATTAGTTAAGACGAAGGCTAACGTTTCCAGCGAGCGTTATCCTTAGTCAGGGCTAAGGCTTCAAAGGACGGCTTTAGAAACTCTTTACGGTGGCCAATTAATGTTATCAACTCAGTTGATAAAACCAAATTATCTTGAAATTTCCCATAGATTCCACTGCTCAGAGGACAACATGTCTAACAATTAAATCCTCTGATTTTTACAAAGGAGAAGGCTGTTTTGGCTACAGGTCCAATATCCTATTGCGTAATGAAAACTCCACATGGCCATATTTTAGCACGAAGAACCGCATAATGCTAAAACGTCCATGCTCCAAGCTTTTTGTAGCCTTATAGAAATTATGAAAAGGGCGACCGAAAGGTTATACAAACATTTAGGTCTCATTATTTAAACCAAGTTTAGCTGTTATTTAAATGTTTTTAAATGAACCTTTTATCTGAACGCTCATTTTCGCGAACGGTGTCAAGAAGGCCGACAGCTAACAGTGGAAGGGAATTTATTCAATTAAATCAACGCTCTTAGAGAGAAAGCCTGAAGCCCACTGATTGTGTAAAACTGTGGTTTGTGTTAGACCTCGTGTAAATAATGGACCCTAAGTGTTACTAAGGAGGTTATGTCCTGCGTGAAACGGACAAGTATTTATGTAAAGGCATTTCTACAGATTAGACTGCTCAGGGGACAACATTTCCTACGGTATACTAATCATCTAATTTTACAAAAGAGAAAGCTCTCGTGACCTGCAGTTATACTGCCGCCACGCTTAAAATCAGTGGAAAAAAATGGACAAGGCTACATCACGGAGAACCTCAAAATGCTGAAACTTTCATGGAACAAGCTCTCGATTAAGTATTGCGAGGTACTTTGCTTGTGAGACGTAATGAAAAACATAATGGACTTTGTGATTTACTGTGTGCACTGCATGGATACGAGAAACAATTCTGCTCGCACCATTACGTTAGGTTTAATGACCATATCAAGATAACATCGTGCGATAAGTCACTCCTTATTTCGAAATAGGTTTTAACCGTCAGTGCACAAAAGGGAACATATTTAGCGACGAGTTTTTCGTGTGAAGAGTCCACACGAGGTAAACGTACAAAGTAAAGGCTGGCCTTTACTTCGAATTGAAAGGCTAATTTGTTACAACTATGTTTAGTTATTCAGTACATAGTGGCAGCCTATCCTTTTACTGATGTTGCCTAGAAAATATGAATCCTATAAACCTGGTTGTTATGAGCTCTTTCCGTCTTACTCTCTCTCTCTTTTTTCCTTTACTAAATTATCTCGTTTTTTCCTGCTAGTATGCAAATTAAGTAATCTGTCCAAACTGGCGCAAAACTCCTATCTTTCTGAGAAATTTCAGTTAATATGTATTAATAATTAGAAAATAGTGGTTTCGGGCCTGCGGGGTAACTTCTCAAATCCCCAGTGCATATTTGGTGCTTGTGCTTGTGAAAGTGGGAACTGGGGCAGACGCAATCTAAATAATACTAAATTACCCTGTTATACTCTCCCACCGATGCAGAAAAATTGAATTTAATCACATCGTGTACATACTTTCCGTTCATTCACGTGTAATTACGTGTTACTTGAAGGTGAAAATGAATTCATGATGACAAAGCCGAGGGGGGTGGAAGGACATTTTTACTTTCTTTTCTAAGACACGTGCACGTAGTTAGACTGCTTAGATCGAGAGGAAAACTATATACGGCTTGTCGCGCATCTGCTAGCCCGTTCTTGAAACATTTTTCACATCATGCTTACAATTCAAGGCTTTTTCGTTCTACTCGCTACAATTCTTCAGTTGATGATCCTGTATTTCTTGATGGAAATGGGCAGAGCCTTGCAGTGGAGGGTTACGGCAGAGGTTCGCGAGCAGCATGCAGTGAGAAGACCGGAATTGAATAGAAACGGAGAGAGCGCAAACTACAGCGTCCCGACAAACAGAAATCGGCTTCCCACAGAAAATGATGAACACCAGGGCTAAGAAATCAGGGTAAGCTATTTTAGCCCCATTTTCTGAATCAGTTAGATAAGCTTTCTACAACGGAATTTGATATAAAGATCTAAACTCTTCCTACCCAATATGTTCACTTTGTTTCCCGCCACTCGGCCTTGCTGTGCGAAGTCTTGGCGAAAAGTTGGTAATTTATCAGGGTTTTTAGATCGCTTTTGTCATTAAGGCTAGTTACTTTTCTCTTTCCACTATGGAGGAAAGCTTTTCTAAGTACTTCTTTCGTTAGCTTTCCTGTTCATTTTTATTTTTCCTGTGCAGGTCCAGTCATTTTGAAGTCGGAAAACACGTTTTGAGAAGAGAGATGACATCTAAATTGACACTTGCGATGATTGAGGCTAGCTTTTTTTATTGTATATTTATAAATGTCGAAAACGGAAAGAGATAGGTAGCAAAACCATTCAATGCACCCGGTTCACTCGGAGGAAATGGGCTCACCCCGGAGAAAGAAATTTCCCTTGCTGGGCTCAGCCCACTTCAAAATACATTCTTAGCATTCTCGTTGTCAAACATTCCCAGATTTCATTTCGGTCGTTCTGTTACCATGTCAACAAGAGCTGATCTTTCTCAAGAGATCGCATATCCTCTATCCAGCGTTTGATCGTGACCATAGCTAATCTAGATCATAGTCAATCGTGACTTAAGTATTGTACCAATCGTTTAATCATGGCTTCATCAAGGAAAAATAATCTGTTAACTGATGTTCAAAGATCCATTTTGTCTCGGTATTTTGACCAAGGCATGACTGGAAAGGGTCAAGCCCACAACGATCTCATTGAACAGGCCAGTGCAGAAGCCAAAGTGACTAAGGAAACTGTAAAGGTAAGACTTTATTGGTTAAAATGCTTTTATAGATTCCATATATTTATGTTAGATAGTAGCGTAAATATGGAATGTTGCTTGGATCCTTTTCTGTCATCTCGCTGGTAAGGCGTGTGTTTCGGACCCTTTTACTGGTGGTTGCCGCGAATGTCACGCACCGTAGTGACATCTTCCAAGCGTTTTTACTATTAAATAAATTAGTTATACACTTTTGAATTCAATAAAAACCGATTCGATTTACTATTAGTTCTTTATTTTTGATTGAATATTTAGAATTGGATTGGAAGCGAACGAAAGAAGAGAAAAGCAGCGGCAAGTTCGACTTCGAGTGATCAAGATACCGCACCGTCAGCAAAAAGCGTAAAAAGCATCCCCTGCATACGAGCTCCCACGTCATACAATAACTTTTGTAAGGAGCTGTTCAACAAAGGTAAAAGTTTATGAAATATTCTTCTACGCCATTCATAATATTACGAACAAACAACACAGAAGTTAAACCCGTTTTAAACTTTATGTTTCTTTTCAAAGTGAAATTAATCCAAGCTATGCTTGATCGAGTAGGGTTTTTGTCGTTCTTTAGTAATTGGAAAAGTAGTTTAGAGCTAAACAAGAGAGTAATTAAACTAAACGCTCATGCACACTTTGTATTTAAATTCTAGATCAGTGTCGAAACCTTTCTATGGTAGAAAGAAATTCGTTTGCTGCCAAAGAGTGGGCGAAACTCACTGCTGAAGAAAAAATTTTATATAAGAGTTCGCAGAATATAGCGGGCGAGTTGAATCCCGAAGATATTGAAAGGACCGTCAAAAAGATAAGAGATCAAATAATTAAGCTGGTGAGTCATATTATATTATTTTCAATTCCTCGGCGTTTGACGAGTGTCAAAATATTATATTCCACATTGATTCCATTGACTTATTTCAATCAGTTCTCAAAATACTTCAACAACACGGGTCGGGGCAAATGTGAAAAGTTAAACTTCAGATCCCCACATCGATAGATCCTGTTAGTAATTGAGCATATAAATTTTGCATAAAAAACGAACAAAGAGAAAAAAAATCCATATGAATACGGTAAAAAACAAAGATTGAAGTATAGAAAGTTGGAGAAGAGGAAGAAAGAAGGAAAAAAGAATAAAGTAGTCGCAGAATTAAATCCTTAATCATCGAGTTGTTAAATTCTTTCCTGTCAGCTTAAATAAGCTTCTTGTTAACTCCATCATTATTTCATAATGCTGAAAATATATTTGCCTGTTCATTTGAAACTGTTGAACTGTCTCTTATAGGTAAACATTCTTGATGGATATGGCTGTTGCACTGCGGTACTACAAAAAGATCCTGATGGACAGTTGTTTGGTTTTGGATCCCCTGCAGGTCAAGACTTTTTGTCAAGGAATCCCGAGTTGATGTTTAAATTCAAAAGCCATTTTGGTGGTAAGCTTTTCACTAATTTTTTGCAGTATTTCTGCACTATTGTTTGAGTTCTGCAAAATCTAACACCTCCATGTAGGTCACATGTAATAAAGTTTCATGAGTAAATTGTAAGATGCTGGGGGTTGTGCCATATACTGACTTCCGGAATATGGGAATGATCTGCAGAACAGGGTATGGTTTTTCAAGCTTAAGCTTTGAGTCATAAATAGGGTATCCTTTTGAACTACATTTCCAACTTTGTCTACAGTTCCTGTCAAGTAATTCAGGGTATACACATACCATTACAATGCTAAATAACCAACTATCCTCAATTACAGTGACCACCACCCAAGAATTAAACTCTTTCGGATCTGATAGGTTATTATCAAAAAATATTTTTATTTGTCACAAGGGTAATATTATCAGGATCCTGTGGAGCACCCATATTCCCTAAACCAGTTGGAATATCCCCTCGGAGTAGTTAGTAACATCTAAATTATGTTTATTTACAGGTGCAGACAACAAAGATGTTACATATAAAGACATAACAGCACTATTCAACCAAAAATACAGTAAGATTGCAATGATTATTGTATGCATGCATTTGTGTGATTCCATTCCATGCACGTTTTTGTGATTACAACTTTTTGGATTCCAGCACACACCTCTTCATTAATAATTATTAGTTAATTCTCTGGGAGTGTGTAATCCCATATATTGGCTATCATAGCAAATATATGAGAGTACACACTCGCAGATAATTAACTAATAGTTATTAATGAAAAGGTTTGTGCTGGAATGCAAAAAGTTGGAATGGTTTCAAGCTCTGTGTCAAATAACAGGGTATTGACTATTCAAATCCATTTCCAATTTTTTTCTTTCACATTCAGAGTATAGCTTTATATACTAATCAAGCACTTTTAAATCTTTTCAAGTCCACATGGAGTATACCCCACTAGTTAATTATTATAAAGTCTACATTATTATTCATAAATGTTATAAAAGATATTGTTGTTTGGGTCTTGGGACCAACATCATTAAATACCACCAATATACTCAATCTTATTATGGTTTGAGAATATTTATATTAGCTTTTACATTATCATTAATATCATAATTACTCAAAAATGTTAATGATGTCATATTGCTATTTTCCTATAAGGGCAAGCCATAGTGAATAATTATTAGAGGTCCTCCAATGTTATATAAAACTTTCTGTTCTCAGTGATACAGGTTTCTTAATCATTCTATAGTTGCTTTTAATGGTACAGCCAATTGAAAGCCTTTAGATGATTGTTATCAGGGGTATCTATGGAGTTATGCTAACTATATCACAAAAAAACTCTAAAAGGATACACCAGACAATATTTTCATCAAAATAGGCGAGTTTTGGGAAGTCTCAACAGCCCTAGAAAACTATTACATTCTCCGAAATCTTAGTGCTAAAATTGCAAAAAAGAACAGGTTCACAAATACTGGTAGTAATCAATTCGTTTTTCAACTTCAACTTTTTATTTGCTTACCCATATATTTTCTTTGATAGACTATTCACAACAGAAACAGAATTATTATATACAGAAGCTTGTTTTTAGGTTGAGAGTTTGTAAGTGCATGTATGAATCATGAATATGATGTATGTTAGCTACCATTAAAAGATCATGAAGAATGTATTGTAATCATCAAAAATAACACCTGTATGATGAAATCCATATGCACACATAATTATTATATGCTGACTTAGTTTTCTCATTACCTTTAGGTCAAATGGTTGGAAAACCTTCAAGAGTGCCATACCTCAAGGGTGGTTTTGAGGTTGAGGGACTTCCTGAAGATTTGCCTTTTCGGAAGCCTTTCATGTATGGCGGGATGCAAATGAGGAGAATTCTTGAGGCTAAAGAAAGCATCATCTTCAAACCAGCCCCATTGCAAGGACATAGTGATGATGCTGTTGAGACTCCAATTGAACAAGAGCCCATCCCAACAGAAGCAACTCAACAAATACTGGCATCCCTGTTAGCCCATATTGCTGGAGACAGAGTGTCAAGGCGTGCACTTAGTGGTGGTGGTGTCATAAAAGAAGAAGAAACCGAGGTTGTAGATCTCACATTCAGTAATCGTGAAATGTGGATCCTACAGTCATACGGCATCACATATTTTGATACAGATGCATGGAAGGGGCTTTGGCACAATGTTCAACATGACACAGAGCATGATGGTGGTGTCATCCTTCCTGTGCTGAGTGGAGGAGGAGTGGATTATTCTAAAAGCATCAAGTGGCAAAGCACTAAAAGGACACTGGCTAGACAGGATTCCATCATCATCTAATGAATATCGACTACTCACTGACATGACCAACAGTGTCACCAAGCTTAATGCCATCAAGCTCGAGAATGGCACACCTCTCTACCACTTGTATTATGCAATGCCATCCCAAAATGGCACATACAAATTGGATGCATTGTTCGAAACTGCCATAGAGCAAGCCATAAGAAGATTAACTCGAGTCAACCCTGAAGATTTTTAAATTATTTATTTTGAGATTATAATTGCAGTACTAGTTATGTATCAATTCTTATGCAACAAATCAAGCTTGAGAACTAAATGTTTGTGTTAAAGGCAAATTTACACAATTTCAATTTTAGTTCCTTCAACATGTACTCTTCTGAGATTATAAAATTTTAAAAAAATGTCAAGATCAACATGTTTTATATTGGTAAGCATTCTTTCCTTGTATCTCAGTTTTATTGCTAATCTGGTACCCCTGGGCAACAGAGCTAGGAGAGGGTATCTTTGCATGGTTACCTGGGAGTGAGTGAGTACCACTTTCATAATAAGCAAACATGGTTGTAAAACATTCTAGAACCAGTTTCTCACAATTTGCAAAACAATTTTCAATGGGTTATTATTGCTTATTTTGAAAACTAGCTACTGTTACAGTAGCTAACTTATTTCTAACTTTTTAAACAAAATTTGGTTATTTGTAGAAAAATTGATTCATTGATATCTCCACTTTTGGAGTAAGGGAAATAAAAACTCTGAAACACCTACTTTTATACACACAATACTTTAATTTGAAGTTTTTAAATATTTCCATTTTTCTGTCTAAGCTTCTATTGTAAGCCTCTATGTATTATATCTTTTGGGAAGTTACTATAACATTCAAAACTGCAACTTACACAAATATTGTACAAAATTTCCTATATTTTTCAGTCCACATTATTCTTTATAAAAGGTTTTCATACATTTTGTGATTGACAGGAATGCCTGATTGTGAAATTTAATTGCTGAAAACAATATGTATTGATTTATTTGTTTTTTTATTTTTTTAATTTGCTGTTAATTGATATATTTTGGTCTGGGAGTATTTTGGATATTTTTCCAACACTTTGTCAGTATACATCTGTACTTGTGAATGAGATTGAGATAAGGGGTTCCTCTCTCCCTAGCTCTCAGACCTCTGATACCCGGGTTACTTAAAAACACACAATTTACACTATTGGGTTTGCCATATCCAGCCTCAATAGTGTGCAATGTTTTCTTTAGGACTTGACTACTGTCTGTAGTTGTGTGAAATGTGCATAGTTAGAAAGGATAGTGATAATAAAGGTTGCAGACAACGAATCATTTCAAGGCTGGAGATGATAAACCGATCACAGCTGCACAATTAATTATTGGCCACTATTGGTATCATTCACTCAAACAGTGCTTTCCATTTTAGTATTTGACTTTTTATTAGAGCTCATTTAACATTAACAATCTAAATAGAATAAAAGACAAGGAATAGTTCAGATGTTGGTCTTTTAATTGCCACATCAAATGCAATTGTTGAGTTTTGTAAATTAAAACTGCAGTGCCAGGATCAACAGAATTTGCCAAATGTTATTTCTGTGGATGTTTTAAACTCATTGTCAGCGATAAGAAAGTTTCTTATCTTACCAGCAAATATTAATAAGACTACTCATAATCTAGTTGGGAAGCATGTACAAATTTTCATAGCTTATTTTCATGTTAGCATACAGCATTAATGGTCGTTTTGCAGTAGTAACGGGAAAAACAATATATTTTGTTGATACTGTTTGATGTTCAATATTAAAGTAATAAATAATATGGAACTTGTGAAAATGCTCTACTGACGTACAATTATTGTATAAATGTTTTTGTAATTGTGCATGCAATCAAAAATCAGTAAAATTATGAATAATTTATTATGATAGTTCATATTATTACATTGATATATGATTAATTTGAGAATTTCAAAGTAACTTTTCACAACTGTAAAAGAGATTTCCTTTCAATGACTAAAGAACAACTAGACAATTTCATTCCTTTCAATAAAAACATAATATACTCAGACTTACAAGATGGCAGAATATCCTTATTTGTGAAACAAATACACTGAAACAGTGGAAAATGAACTATATGTGTTATCAAAATAACCTATAAATCTATCTGACTTCAGTTTATTTTTGGTTTTGAAAACATGTACACTACAACAAAAATTGAACAATATTCAAATATTTCAACACAATGAAATAATTTGTCAGTCTATAAAATAGATCTTGGCACTTAGGTACATTAATTATGGTATTATGAATTTACTTATCATTATCGTTACAGTGCAAATCAATTACATTTTTCAGGAATGTTGTTTGTCTGTGATTAATGAATTGACACAACCATTCCTGAAATATTTGTCTGGTCATGGTTTTGTGATTCTTACTGTAAAACATACATTTTATTTCCCTTTTTTGTATGAGCCTGAGGTATGCTTGCATGTAGTCTCTGACTCATCAGTACAGTCTTTGATTTTTGGTTAAATTATGGAGAGGTAAGAGCCTTGTACCTTTTTGACCCTTTCTTTATGTTGTGCTTCTGTGGCAAATGATAATCCATTCGGTAACCTTCCCACTTGCATGACTTAACTGGGCAAGGTCGCAATGGCTCTTTATTTCCTCTTTGCTTCTGAAGAGAAAACAATAATTTAAAATGGTTGTAATACCTGTTTGTTACTGAAGATGTAAGATGAATAATATGATTAGTGAAAAGGATTTCTTGATACAAAGAATAGGCTGTTTTAGATGAATTTATATACAAAAAACATATTGGCCTTACAACATCCACATTTGCATTTTCACAACAGCTTAATATTTTACTCACTATTTGTGATTATGAGGCAGCATGGACATTACATACCAAAAAAACTATTTACTACATTTCTATTGTAATAATCGAGGCGCCCACTACTGTTAGAATGAAGCTGGTGCTAGGGCAAAAGAATAAAATCATTGAAAAGCAGGATAATGTCGAACAATGCCTCTTCCTTTTTGTAGTCATTGTTCTATCTGCCTTTCTTTGTTGCTTGGGCGAATCACAATCTTTGTTCTGATGAGTAGGGCTACTGTAATAATCTTGATATTACTTTTTTCTCTTGCCGATTACTTAGGACTTTTCTAATTTAGATTAAAAGTAAGAAATTCAATTACATTCTCATGGATGTTACATCAGAAAGAACCACACACTGTACAGTCACAGTGCTTGCAAAGTAGCATTTTTCCAAGTTTTTTTATTTAAAAAAGTACAATACATGGAATTTTGGAAGTTGTATGTGTTTTAAAACCACAAAATTTAGGAAATGAATATCTTTAACAATGAAATAAATTTTTTAGAGATAGTTCAACTAAGAACAATGCATTGTATCAACAAATTTGGAAATATTACTAAAAGTTTTCAAATATGAATGATCAATGCACACTGATATCTATTTATTGACACAACTATATACATGTATCTCACCTGATTCTTTTGCTTTTTTCTTTGAAGTCTTATTTTTGAGACATCTTCCTTTTGAGTTTGTGAAAAAACTTCAAATGGTTCGCAATGTGTGTGTAGTTTTCGTTATAAATCTGTAAAATGGCCAAAACACACAATAAGTTATGGAAAATACAAAATATTTTACAGACCTACATGCTGAGCTCCACATCCATGAATCACTAAAATAACAAACAATTCCTTGCATGGCAATCAAAATAATATACCGAGTCATAAATTATGTCACTAGAAAATCAAACTTTGATATGAACTATAAGTCAACAAGAAGTGATGCAGCTTTAAATATCACCATGGTAACCCGACTGTATATATTACTGCTTTTTGATGACGTATTTATTAATTTTTTGGATTTAACTTACGGAGACGACATTAATCTGTATTATGCTGATAACAAACAGTATTACTTACTGACATTTGTATCGATACGTCTTTTTCGAGCCAGGCTGTTTTGGTGAGTCTGAACCCACGTGGCATCTGGCGCTTGTGTCTTCTAACTCTTCATCATGTGGCTTTTCGAATTCTGACTCTGAGAAATCATCTTCAACCCGACCATCGAGTACACGGAGCACTTTCTGTGCCTCGCTCTTCATTTTCATTCTAATAACTTCAATTGCATCGCCATTAGTGGGCTTAAGATCGCGTGTATCACATGTGCCGCTTTGGTGAAATGACTGTAACAGCGTTTCCACATTTTTGAGAATTTGGCACGAAGGTCTAGACCTATTTCGTTCGCAACTCTTCTTTCAGCTCGTAACTGTCCCAGTAAAATCACTGTTCTCAAACCTTGGCCTGTAGTTAAAAAACATTTTGATGGAATTAGGATGTTGCTTCCACTCATGTAGATGCCGTTGCTATTCCATCGAAATAGAGCCTGAGTTATTGGGTCAGCGATACCTAAAGAAGTCTCTCTTGCGGGCGTTAACATTTTCGGCCAGCATCCATGCCCCCCGTTTACATTTTCTTTGACCAACAATTATTAACAACCAGAAGCAATATTCAGACAGCACGACCCGGAAAAATATACGTATATTACGCACATTTTTACTCCGACGAAAGACAAAGGTCCGAAACGTAAGTTTTTCAACTTTCTCAACGATGCTACAAATTACCTTTTTTCGTGCCCTTATATAATAACATTCTGGGTTATTATGCCACAAGGATCAGTACTGGGTCCAATCCTTTACAGCTTATATACGGCCCCCTTGGTGACATAATTCGAAAACATGGCCTTAAGTTCCACCTGTATGCCGATGATTGCCAAATTTATGTGCCATTTATGCCTAATGATGAATCTGCTGCTCTGTTGGAAATAGAGGCCTGCGCTAAAGAGATCTATGCATGGATGGCATGTAATGGGCTTAGGATCAATCGCGATAAGACTGAGTTTTTGGTTATACATGCCAAACATCGCCCACGACCACCAACATGTGACATCAAAATTGCTGGTGTCAGGTAGTTTTAACTGAGTCAGCTAGAAACATAGGAGTAATGTTTAA